AAAAAAAAAACAAACCAAAAAAAATGCACAAATCATTTCACTTATAATCAACATTATTGAAGTATGGTTTACATTAAATGAATATCCATTTTCATTATTTTGATGAGTTTTGACAACTGTAAACACACTTGTAACCACCACCATCATAATCAAGATAATAGAACATCTCTATCATGCCCAAAGAGATTCTTCATGACCTTTTCTAGTCAGTCCTCCCATATCCTGGTCCTAGGCACCCACTGATAGCTTTCTTCATTATAGATTAGCTTTGCCTCTATAGGATTTCAAGGAAATGGAATCATAGCAGTGTGGACTCTTCTGTGTGTGCTCTCTTTTATACAGCATGATGCTGGTAAGACGCCTCCGCACTGTTCATGTCTTGGGGTTGGGTTCTTTTGTGTTACTGAGCAGCACTGGACTGAATAGATGAAACCTAACTTGTTTATACCTCCACCTGTCGACGGACAGGGATTTCTTGGATAGGTCTTTAGATTCACTGATCTTTTCTTTTGCAGTGTCTAATATGGTGTTATCTAGTAAACTTTTCATTTCTCTCTCTCTTTTTTTTTTTTTTTTTTTTTTGAGACAGTGTCTTGACCTGTCACTCAGGCCGGAGTGTGGTGATGTGAGCATGGGTCATTGCAGCCTTGACCTCCTGGGCTCAAGCAGTCCTCCTGCCTCAGCCTCCTGTATAGCTGGCACGACAGGCTTATGCCATCATGCCTGGCTAACTTAAAAAAAAAAATTTGTAGACATGGGGTTTCAGTTTGTTGCCTAGGCTGGTCTCAAACTCCTGGGCTTAAGTGATCCCCCCACCTCAGCCTCCCAAAGTCCTGGGATTACAGGTGTGAGCTGCTGTGCCCGACCTCATTTTTGATATTGTATTTTTTTTTTAATCTCTGAAAGTTCCACTTGATTATTTTTCATAACTTCTGTTTTCCTTATGTTCACAGTTTCCTGTAAGCATTTATTTTGGCTTTTTTAACGTCCTTATTTTCTGTTCCCACCATCTTTGTCTTTTCTGGGTTTGTTCTCTTGACTCATTTTTATTCTTGTTCTGGGTCACATTTTCCTTCTTCACAAGTCTAATAATTTTTCTTTAGATGCTGTGGCTATTGGGAATTCCCTATTGTTGAGTGCTAGACTTTGTGGTTTTTGCTTTTTAAACATTGACATGCAATTGGGTTACTTGCAGTTCAGATTGATCCTTTCAGGGCTTGTTTAAGCTTTCTTTGGGGCAGGGTTAGAGTAGCTTTAAGTCAGGGCTTCTCAACAGTAGTGCTGTGACATTTTGGCATTCTCTGACTGTGTGACATTTTGATAATTCTTTGTTGTGGATGCTGTCCTTTGCATTGTAGGATGTTTAGCAGCGTCCCTGGCCTCCTCCCAGTGGATGTCAGTAGTACTCCCTTCCCTGCCATCATTCTTGCCAACCAAAAATGTCTCCAGACTGCCACATCATCCTTGGGCTTGGGTGTGTAAAATTGCCACCTGTTGAGAACCACTGCTATAAGCCTATTTAGCCAGACAATTACTGTGACCTTTCTGGGGTCTCTGCTCAGAGCTCAAGGTGCTCAGCAGTGATCCTCCCATCTGGCTGATCAGAACGTTTCCCAGGCCTCCAAGAGCTCTGGAGATTGTTATAGCTCATGGTCACCTTTTGCTCGGCATTACAGCGTCTTACACTCTGTGTATGTGAATGTATTAACACAGACCCTATAGGAACCCTGTGCAGCGTTCTGAAGGCTTTTTTCCTTTGTAACTTTCTCTCTGCCTGGCAAGTTCCAGCTGCTTCCCCTTCCCTGAACTCGTTTCCTGTCTGTTTAGCTCAGCAAGACTGCCATGTTCTGCATAACCTCTTATCCTGTGCTGTGGTCTGGAAAGGGTCTCCTAGCTGACCTGGCTGACAGCCAGAGCAGGGTAAGTGTCACTTGGTTTGTTTCCCTTCTTAGGGAGCAAACTGTGTTGCCTCTTGCTCAACATCTGAAAATACCTTTTTCGTACATGTTACGCAGTTTTCTAGTTGATAACAGCGGGAGGGTAAGTCTGATCCCATTTACTCCACTATGGCCAGAGTGGAGATTATTTATATGTTTTTGAGACAATTTCACTCTATTGTACTGAGTACCAGCTCAGTCAGGAGACCTCTACCCGGGCAATGCTGAAGGCAGTGAGAGACAGACACCCAGATAGAACACCAAGGTGGATCTATGCAGGGGGCCAGCAGCCTACGGAGCTGAGAGTCTCAGGGGCTGACAGCTTTCCAGGTTGAAGGCCCCAAGCAGATTCTGATCCACATATTTATTCTCTCTTAACAGGTGACCATTATTAATAAACAGGTGTTCTGTATTCACTCATAATTCAAAAATATTCCAAGTAAGTAGCTGTTACTAACTTACCAGTAATTAGAAACTAAAAGGTATTCTCCACAAGGGAGCCACGGGGGCAGGGTAAACTTAATGTTTCTCGACATCTTCCCCCTTCTCTGTTTCAACAAAGCTGGGTCAGCAAGTACAGCTCTATCTTGGTGAACTATTTCTTGGAGGATTGTGGATCCGCACCTGCAAACTACACAAAGAGAAACAAAACAGATTAATAACATAATCACAACAGCAATCATAGATCCTCCAAGTGCTTTCATCCAAATTTAGGGCTGCCAGTCCACCAGCAGCTCCCTCAAACATCTTGGAGCCTAACTGTCTACTCTTAACATGTCTTCCTTAAGGAGTTGGGACCCAGAAATTTTTTGGGAAAGAGGGTGGAGGTCATTCTTCTGTAACTGCTTCCTGCTTTGAGGTTCTTCTGGGTTCCTCCTCCTTAATTGCTGTCTAAGGCCTTTCCAGGTGATATTTTATTCTCTCCCAATCATGTTCAGTCTCATTACACCTTTAAAGTTAATAAAGTCAATTTGTAACTCTCATCATCACAAGATGGGAGGGGTTTAACACAGCTCTGAATCTAAAGAGCTTTTATTTCTTATACACTTCTAATTAATAAGAATTAGGGCCTGATTCTCTATTATATTTTCCTTCCCAGACTTTTGTTAGTTTTAGGGCCATAGGTTTTATTCAGAGTTCTTTTCATTCAGCTCTTATCATCCGTCCATACTATTTTTGGTTGTGGGTCTATTAATCTCCCATCTCTCCAGACAATAGAGTTGTTGATCTCAGTATGTATACATTCTAAATAATTGCAGCTCTTTATCTGCCATCTGAATTCTGTGTTACTACAAGAGGACTGACAGGTGCAGTCAGTGCTAAGTATCCCCTTAGGGGACCAATAATCAATAATAATTTCATAGGAATTGTTACGCAGCACCTCAGCCTCTATCACAACACTGTGTCTCCAGATTAATGTTTTTAACTTAGGGGACCATTCCTTACTTTATCTGCATTCAGGTTTTAATGGTTGAAACATTGTTATTTTATTTCCTAAATTATTACAGAAAATACTAAGGCCAGAGATCAGTAAAGGAAGGAAAGAATATATGTCCAATGTGTGAAACTTTCTTTACTTCTATCCCAACTCCAGAAATACTCACTTTAATCATGATAACTGTCATCATAATTACATTAACAAGCTGTCCTGCTTTCTTCAGGTTTTCCTCTGCTCTCTGTGAA